CTCCCTTTCCCCCCTTCCTGGCATATGGAATTCCTCCTTTGCTCCTGCCCCTTCCTGGGGGGGGGGGGGAACCCACGTTTCAGCCTTTCCGCTTAGCTGACAGGGCAAGAACCAGCCCGCTGGGGTTTGCCAGGCGCCCCCGCTGCTGCTCTTCTGCTTGCTGAAAGTGCTCGTGCTGGATGGCTCCGAGCGGACGGGGGTGGCGGGGTTCTTCCCACCCTCCCCCTGGTGCTGGCCACGCCAAGGCTTTCTTCCCAAGACTTGCAAACAGGCCATAACTGTGTTGATCTTTCTTTCCGTTTAGGGAGACCTGGGAGCCCTCGGTCCCCCTGGAGTCCCCGGCCTCCTTGTAAGTACAGAAAGGCAGACAATCCTTTTATCCCGCTTCCAAGAGGAAGCCTTTAGCTCTTTCCAAGGAACAATGAAGCTACTATGCATTTATTTAGCTGCTGGGGTTGGGGAGGGGGTGGCAGGACAATAAGGCAAAGCCACCACTCAGCCTGTCCTGAATCAAAGGTTGCCAATGGCAGGTGCTCCGTTCCTGTAAACGGAGATGAGACTATACCACATTTGACCGAAGACTTCTCGGTATCTGAGCTGGCCCTGTTTGACTGTAGTTGGGGGGGTTCCTAGAACAAATTCCCTTTTAGGGGCTGAAAATCCTTTGCCTCCAAAAATCGGGGCTCACACTTAGTCGTAGCCCTCGTGTGAAGCCTTCCTGTGTGCAGGGATTTAAGGTTTCATTTTTTACACTCGATGAGTTGAAAAAGCATCCTGTTGTGTGGTCTGGTGTTGTGTAAACAATGCCGCATTTTGGAGGGGAGAGGGGGGCGGCTCTCCCGAAGCTGATCTCTTTGGCGGAAAGTGGGGACGAAAATCCAGGAGAGAAGAAATTCCACACTGCCGGCGCTTTCGGATAAAGGATCTGAGGAAAGAACTCTAAGGAATCGGAGGAGGAGTGGTTTCCATGCCCAAAGTGGCAGATACAGCCGTACGGCTGTATTTTAATTGAAAATCTCATAATCTACAACCTCCATCTGCCCCGAAGACTTCTTTGCCCACTTGTAGATTCAGAACTTACTCTTGACCAGCCTGCAATGGTAGATCCAGGCTGTAGGCAATCTTTCCGAGAGTTTAATATGAACTAAGTGGGATTTAAGGGAGACACGTGACCTACGTGGATCAGGGCCTGCCCATTTTCCCCCACTCCACCCAGAAGTGGTTCTGCCTGGCCATATGTGCCCATATATTAAAAAACAGCTTCTGAGTAGCAGAAGGATGGGTCCTTTTCTGCCAGAGCCCCAAGAATCATTTCTCATCAAAACAGGCAAAGGGGTTGGGTTTCAACTCCCATAATCCCCAGCCAGAACGGCCAGCAGGTTAAGGAAAGCTGTTCTATGCTCTTTTTCCTTGTTGCATGTTATGTTATGAACTTGGTTCTCCTGTTCCAACACTCCGATCTAGATCTCCCCATTCTAGTTCCCTCCTGATGTGTTGGATTCTAGCTTCCAGAATTACTATTGGCTGTGCTAGTGGGGGATTTGGGGAGATGAAGCTCCCCATATCTGGAGAACACCAAGAAGAAGGGCTGTACATTTTCTTCACAACACACCCGGTTTCTAGCATTTTTCCTAATCTAAAAGCCACAAGGATTGTATGCTTCTCTGTTGCTGCAAAGTCTTCTGGCCCCCAAGTCATCTGGGTTGTCATCTTCTGCCCCTCTTGAAGCACTGTGCTCCCTTTTCTGAGCTCAGCTATATCACTCTTCCCAAAATGAAACTGTCTGAACTTATGTCCATGCCTATTTGCATCCAACAGCCATGGGTAATCTGAACATCTCCAGGGTGTGCCCCATCTCTTCCTGAAAAATATTTAGACATTCATTGCAATACCCCACCGGATGAGTCCCCCATTTCCTCTTGAATCTGAGTATCCCACTGCCTGTGGCTCGAGTTATATCTTTCCATGTGGGCATTGAGTATTGTTTGATCAGACCACATGCTGTAACCTGAACCAGCTAGTTCTATTCTGGCTAATTTATTCTGGCCAGCTTCGTGAAGCGGACTCTTTCTTGCAAGGAGGCCTCTGTGAAGTTGCATGAAGAAAGGATCTGTTCTTTGGAAGGTTGCAACTCAATGTACACAGAGCACCTCCACCCACGTGACCTCCCCGTGCAAGAGTATCCTGTTTATACGTCCCAAGCTGGAGGCAATCTGAAGACTCAGCGTTAACTTGCTCCAGTCTGTGTCCATGTGAGGGTGTGAGGGTGAGAGCATGGGTGGAAAAAGCAAGAAAGAGATTGCTTCAGTATTAAGCCTGTTGAACTCTGGGAACCTTGCCACACTGTTCATACAATGTAGGTCCACAGAGGGGCCATTGCTTTTCAGTGTGAAATAACCAAGGTTTGTTCTTGGGCATTTCCACTACAAAAAAGACCTCCCTTAGAAAAACTGGAAGAAGTTGCACCTGAAGGCACCAGAAGATGCAGAATTTTCTGTTTGTATTTCAACCTAAATCTCCTCTCTCTCACCAGGGTGATATAGGTGTCCTTGGAGAAATGGGCTTCCCAGGACCCAAAGGACTAAAGGTGAGTAGAAGGAGTTCTCTTTCCCAGCTGACTCCAGATCTGCTCTGTAGGAGTAGACATTACACAGGGTAACTTCAGAAAACTCAGCAGTCTGAACCACAAAAACAATGGGAGCAATAACGTGAAGAGGAATAGCAAGGAAAACCCAGTGCTACTTTCAGCCAGGATGAGCCCATTCAGTCCCAAGGCCACATTTTCAAAGTCCAGCTTACCAGCTTTAATTTGGGTTGTGTCCCTGGCCAGTTGGTTGGATCTGAATTTCCCCCATGATTAGGTGAAGCCCGAGCAACATTTCTGCTTGGATTCTGTTATAGGTTTGCTTGCCTTTCCTCTCCAGAGAAGAGCTGCTGGTAACTGGAGGGAAGGTGATATGAGATTCCTCCTCTTTTTTTTAATCAGGGGTTGATGGGAAATCCTGGAGAACATGGACTGAAAGGTGATAAGGTGATCTGAATATTCCCTTATTGTTTGTTGTGATTTCTTTGCATGCAAAAGCTTGTTGCCGCCATATACTCCTGTTGTGTTCTTCTCTTCTCTTCTCTTCTCTTCTCTTCTCTTCTCTTCTCTTCTCTTC